AGCCCAGTGCTTGGCAAAGTAGGCACACAGTAAATGCTTTTCTGAATTGCATGACGTTGAATCTCTGTGTTCCCAGTGCTTGACGTATTATAATTGGTGCTCAATAAATGTGTGTTGGACTCATGCACAAATCAACAGAGACTAAAACCAGAGTGGCAGGCTCCTAGCCCAGTTTTCCATCTTTGAAACTAACACCGCTTTCTGTCACAGACACCCACTGCCCACCCCTGAGATCCGGGGTTCTTAATCTGAGGTCCATGCCTCTCCCCAAAAATTATATGCAGGATTTAGTGTATGTTTGAAACATGTCTTGCTGGATTTAAAAAGTCAGATTTCTACCCAGAAAAACATCTAAATGAACCCTGCTGTGAAAGATGTACATCTACCAGGTGCCCAGTAAATACCCATCAGTTGGATGCATCTGGTCCCCAGGGCTGCCAGGTGAACAATAGTTTAAAAAAAAACCTTTTTTATTGTACTTCAGGTTTTGGGGTACATGTGCAGATCATGCAGGACTGTTGCATAGGTACACTGTCTCTGAGATACACATTTAGGCCCTAGAGCCTGCAGTTTTTCCTACCACCTCCATAATGTGCAAGGCAGTTAACTGGTCTTTCATATGCAAAAGTGATGATCACACATTATCCAAGGGACCTGCCTTCTGAGTGGCTCTTTGGCTGCTAGGTGGGTCTCATACAGCCACGAATACTCTGTCAATCTCTTGTATCCCAGCATATGCATTTAGATGTGACAGGCGGGAGTCAAGGCCTAAAACCTGAGAATCCTAACTAAGCTTCGTGATATCAACTCAGAACTTTGATCTTTTTGAAAAAAATATTTTTCTCACTACAAATACATCTGTGCATGTGTCTGTGTATGTATACACACACATATATATTTACTAGTAGAGCAAATTAAGATATGTAAATGAGGGCCGGGCGCGGTGGCTCATACCTGTAATCCCAGCACTTTGGGAGCCCGAGGCAGGTGGATGACGAGGTCAAGAGATCGAGACCATCCTGGTCAACATGGTGAGGCCCCATCTCTACTAAAAATACAAAAAATTAGCTGGGCATGGTGGCGCGTGCCTGTAATCCCAGCTACGCAGGAGGCTGAGGCAGGAGAATTGCCTGAACCCAGGAGGCAGAGGTTGCGGTGAGCCAAGACTGCGCCATTGCACTCCAGCCTGAGTAACAAGAGTGAAACTCCATCTCAAAAAAAAAAAAAAAAGGATATGTAAATGAAATCACCTATACTCTCACCCCAACCCAAAGAACCGGTGTTACTACCTGGGTTTAGTCTTCCCATTTACTGTGTGCCAAGCATTCACTGCCCCATGCTATACGACCTCTATCTCATGTTAACCTCTAATATCACATCAGGTATTTGCTATCCTTTTACAGACATATTTATACTTTCTTAATTTTTAAGGTCAGTGAGATCACACTGTTTTGTAACCTTGCCTTTCTTAGTCCATACCATCAAAATTGTTTCCCATGTTATTAAATATTCATCGGCAGAGTCATTTATAATGGCTGCATGATGTTTTATTGCAGTCAAGTTCCATGCTTCTCAGACTGGGGTGCATGTACCCCTGAGGGCAAAGCCACAGGATAAATGTCACACATCCTCCTGAAGCAAAATTTGTGATTCGAAGCTTTAGGAGAAGGAAATGAAACCCCTTATTTTCATATCAAAATGAGTACAAATCCATTGTAGAATGTAGAACAACCCTGTGTCTTAAACAATGCAGGCTGAGTGCGGTGGTTGACACCTGTAATCCCAGCACTTTGGGAGGCCAAGTCGGGTGAGTCACCTGAGGTCAGGAGTTTAAGACCAGCCTGGCCAACATGGTGAAACCCCATCTCTGCTAAAAACACAAAAATTGGCCAGGCGCAGTGACTCATGCCTGTAGTCCCAGCTACTCAGGAGGCTGAGGCAGGAGAATTGCTTGAACCTGGGAGGCAGAGGTTGCAGTAGCCGAGATCACACTACTAAACTCCAGCCTCGGCAACAGAGAAACACACTCGATCTCAAAATAAAAAATGCAGTAAAGTCCAAGATCATGTTATTCCCCATAGGCCCATGTTCCTTCTCCTCTGAGGTCTGCAGAAACATCTAAGAAGTGCTGAATTCTAGATCAAGCGCTTCTTTTTACAGATAAGGAAACTGACACCCAGGGAAAATAAGGTATTGCCCAAGGTCTACAATATGTGCTCACAGAACCAAGGCACTGAAGCCAGGAGACCCCTGGGTGTGTTCCTTTCCACCCTTACATATGAGGCATCACCTGTCAACTGTGTGTGGGCAGAGACCTTGCCCCTTGAGAAATCAACCCTCTGCTTATCAATAGTAGGAACTCTTGCCTTCCACGTGATAGGGAAGGTGTCTTTTAGCAGCAGCTTTTCCTTTTTCATCTTGTTCCCAGGAACTGAGCTGACTGCTCAGGTGGTCAGTAGCTATAATCTCCATGGACAAAGGTAGATGCCTTCCCATGACCCTCTTAGACTCCATTGGCACTTAGATTTATTGCTTAATGCACTGTATTATAAACATGTCTCTACTGGTCTATTTTAGCCACGAGACTGGAGCCTTCTGAAGGCAAGAATTATGTGTGAGCATTATAATCTGCCATTTATTGGGGACTTACTAAATGCTGAACACTATGCTAGGTGTTTCATCTGTAGTATCTAAAACAGCTTTTCAAAGTATGTATGATTATCTCCATTTATCAGGCAAAACAACTGAGTAAAAGAGTACCATTTGCCCATCAGCGTTCACTCATCTAGTAAACATGTATTGTAGCCTTACACACCAGGATTTGTGCTACATACCTTAGACATCAGGATGAACAAAGTTGATACTGCTCTACCCTCATGGAACTTCTTGGTGGGTAGAGGAGATGATATTCAAAAATTATTTTACAACCCATGGCAAGTATAATGTAGCCTGGAGCCTATCTGACTGCCCTGGATTGAACCCACCTCCACCCTTACCAGCTAGGCGACCTTGGACAGCTCTGTTAACCTCTCTGCACCTTGTCTTCCTCTTCTGCAAAATGGGGATAATAGTAGTAGAAACTCCATAGATGTACTGTGAAAAATAAAGAAATCAACCCATGGGCCAAGCTCCGTGGCTCTTGCCTGTAATCCCAGCACTTTGGGAGGCCGAGGCTGGCAGATCACCTGAGGTCGGGAGTTCGAGACCAGCCTGACCAACATGGAGAAACCCCAACTCTACTAAAAATACAAAATTAGCCAGGCATGGTGACTCATGCCTGTAATCCAATCTACTTGGGAAGCTGAGGCAGGGGAATTGCTTGAACCTGGGAGGTGGAAGTTGTGGTGAGCCGAGATCATGCCATTGCACTCCAGCCTGGGCAACAAGAGTGAAACTTCATCTCAAAAACAAAAAAAAGAAAGAAAGAAATTAACCCCTGTAAAGCATGTAGAGAAGGGCCCTGTACATTCTAGGCATATTGCTGCTGGTGGTGATATGAAGGAGAGGCATGGGGTGCTTGTGTGTGTTAGGGCAGGACCTACTTCAGGGGACATCTGATTGGGATCTACAAGATGAATAGGAGTTACCTTGGCAAAGTGTGTGGGAGGCATAGGAGGGAGCAGGGTGTTGGAGGGATGTTCCAGGCAGAGGGAATAGTGTGTCACAGCATAGGGGGCGGGCTTACCTAAGGAGCTGCAAGGAGTGCAGCTGAAAGGGGCCTGTGTGGGAAGAGGGGCCTGCGCTACAAATACAGCTCCAGGACCTGGGCTGTCTACACCACAGTCTTTATCTAGGCCACGGGCGGTGTTCAGTAAATGTCTGTCAAGTGAGCGAGCCACTCATGGACAAACAGCTATGTTGGGCTCACATGGTTCTGTTGTCACCCTAGCCCATTGTCGCATTACACCATGACATGTGGACAGTCCCTTCCCAGCTGTCAAACTGTACATATCCATGTTTTTGTCCCTCTCTTCTTGACAGTAAACTAAATCCTATGAATTTGGGTACAGACCTCCAGTATCTGGGACTCACTGAGGTGGGTGTAGCTGGAATCCCCATGCTCTAGCCAGTGGCTCAGATCTAGGCCAAGAGTATTCAGACTCTTCAGTAGTAGAACTCTACCTTGAAATAATCTGAGCAGAAATCCAGTATATGGCACAGGGACAGGCAGAGCTCCTGCCCTTGAGAAGCAGACAATTGGCCTCAGCCCTGTGCAGCTGAGAAAACACAAGGGCTCTGTAAAGCACAGTTAGAAAAATAAGAGTTAGACCCGAACCCCATTTTCAGGTGGGGAAACTTAAGACCCAGAAAGGGAGTGACTCTCCGGAGGTCACACCAGCTAGGGACAGACCCAGAACTGGCCCCAGACATCTGGTATCAATTCTGCTACACCAAGATTTCCCTGCATTTCTCCCTAACTGCCCCCAGCCCCTCAGTGTGCAGGGAGCCTTGAGATGGTCTAGGGACACGTGGCTGTGGTCTTGTCAAGAGTCCAGCCTCCAGTCCCAGTTACGGCATGGCCCGCAAGAAACAAAAGTCCACAGGGCAGGCGTGGGTGGGTTGCTCAGGGTCACGGCCTGGTTATGCCCTGTCTTTTTTTTTTTTTTTTTTTTTTTTTTTTTTTTTTTTTTTTTGGTGCTGCTGCTTCTCTTTTAATTGAGTTTGAGGTGGTTGTTTTTTGTTTCCTTAAAAAATGGAAAAGAATGAAGCTGCATAAATACAACTATATTAACTCCCTGAAAAACCTCCTGCCATTTTAACTCTGTTACTGGAGAAATAAAAGAGAAATAATTTGTCCACCCACACTTAGCTCTTTCTGACGAAGGTAGGTGAATATTGCTTTGCTAATCGAGGGTGACTGCTGGAAGTGGAGCCACGCTGACTGATCCCAGATTGAGAGGCAGCCACAGCCGCCCCAAAAGGAACGGCCCGCCCAGGTGGCAAAGCCCTGCTCGTGGACAGGGCCAGAGTCATCGGCCCGCACGTCCCATCTTCCACAGGTCTCCCCCAGCCGGTAGTGATGGAGGCACTGGACAAGGTCGAAAGGCTCCAGGACTCACCAAGAGAGATGCCGCCACCCCTTCCTCCCTCACCGCCCTCAGATCCAGCTCAGAAGCCACCACCTCGAGGCGCCGGGAGCCACTCCCTCACTGTCAGGAGCAGCCTGTGCCTGTTCGCTGCCTCACAGTTCCTGGTAAGGATGGCACAGGCCTCACAGGGGCCTGGAGAGAGGGCGGGCAGAGGGCCAGCCTCCCACTTCCTCCCCAGGATGGCCACCTGGAAGGCAGGATGATGAGGGGCCTCCCTGGTGTTCCTTAGGACTGGGATGAGGGGAAGGCTGGAATTCTGAGCTACCATGTCAGCAGCTGAAGCCTCACACCCTGCCTCCCTAACCCGAGAATCCGGGACATAGGGCCTCCCCGTACTTGACTTCCCAGTCCTGCAGGGTTCTCCCAAGAACGCCTGTCTGTGGAGGCCTTTCTGGGAGACTTCCCTTTTGATGTGTATATTTGTGAGGTCCCCTCTGGAAAGGGCTTTCTCTTGGTTCCCTTCAGTCAGCTTTTCTTCAAGGAGAGTCCTGAGGCCTCCCCTGGGCACACGGCACCGGGGCCCTGCTCTCAGCTGCCCAGTCTGGACCTTAGAGGTTCAGGAGCCTCCATGCAGGGCCAGGTTGAGGCTGCAGGTGAGCTGTGCTGGGGGAACACAGGGGAAGGGGGCCGGCACCGTATTCAGCCTGCTCCCCTGTGCCCCAGCTTGCCTGCGGGGTGCTCTGGTTCAGCGGCTATGGCCACATCTGGTCACAGAACGCCACAAACCTCGTCTCCTCTTTGCTAATGCTCCTGAAACAGCTGGGACCCACGGTGAGTAAGCTTTGGGGAGTCCTGGGATAGGAGGGATCTATTGGGGGGCCTCCAGTCTCACCCTCTCCAACCTCTGGATGGGCTTCTCTGAGTTCAGAGGATACTTCCAAGCCCCTGAAGCTCTTCTGCCTGCTCCCCACCCCAGACCTGGAACACGATTTTCAGATTGTTGGTTTTGTCATCATTGCGAGAGCTGAGAACTCTGCCCCCACCACCACCCTGACCTGTTTGTCTGATGTTCCCCAGGCCTGGCTTGGCTCTGGGACCTGGGGAGTCCCCAGTCTGCTGCTCATCTCTCTGTCCCTGGGCCTCGTCCTCGTTACCACCCTGGTAAGGCACCTCCTGACCCTAACCTCAAAGCTGTCCTCCCATCTGACCTCCAGGCTGGATGTTCTGAGTGGGGCAAGGAGGGATACCTGCCTCTTTGCACAAGTGCGCCAGCCTAGGGCAAAAGCCTCCTTCTTTCTGAAAATTGGATTGCAGTATCTGGTCTATGGAAAGAGGATGAGAAAGGGAGAAGACTGGTGTAGGAACCCCCAACTCTCCCTGAGGAGGCCTGAAGCCACAAGAAACAGATGGCTGGGAGAAGGAGGGGCAGGAAGGGGGAGTGGGCATGGGGCCTCCCATCCAGGCCAGGGGTAGTGGCTTGTGGACAGCTCCCAGGAGAACAGAGCTGCTCTAGACACACTGGGGGAGGGGGGGTGGTCAATCTCGTGGGTACTCCAGGAACATGGGGTGGGGGGCAGCCAGTGCGGTCCCAGATCTGTGATGCTATACACCCCAACCAGGTGTGGCACCTCCTGAGGACACCCCCAGAGCCACCCACCCCACTGCCTCCTGAGGACAGGCGCCAGTCAGTGAGCCGCCAGCCCTCCTTTACCTACTCTGAGTGGATGGAGGAGAAAGTTGAAGATGACTTCCTGGACCTGGACCCGGTGCCTGAGACTCCTGTGTTTGATTGTGTGATGGACATCAAGCCTGAGGCTGATCCCGCCTCGCTCACCGTCAAGTCCATGGGTCTGCAGGAGAGGTGGGAGGGGTGGAGGAGGGGTGGGCTCCACGGGCCCTCAAGCTGTTAGCTCCTGATCAGAAGAGTGGATGTCTGACTCTGATTCCCAGTGCTCAGGGCAGAGCCGGCCTCATAGCTTAGCCAGTGTAGACACGTGCTCTCCAGGTCATTCATAGAGATCAAAGTGCCCCAAGATGAATGCTGAGATATACTGTTACTGCCCATGCACACATAGGTGTACACATGTTCACACACACTGTCCCATGCTCAAGCAAGTTTGGGTTTTTTTCCTTGCTGCAGGACTTGTCAGGGCCTTTAACATGCTTGTGTTCATTGTAAATCAGCAAGGGGGCAGTATGTGGCATTTCTCAAGGTCACTTGACCACAGAACTCTTTTTTTTTTTTTAACTTTGGATTGAGGTAATACATGTGCAGTGTTGTTCCCTGAGCATATTGCATGATGCCGAGGTTTGGGGTACAAATGATCCCATCACCCAGGTACTGAGCATAGTACCCAGCAGTTAATTTTTCAGCCCTTGCCCACCTCTCTTCCTTCCTCCTCTAGTAGTCCCCAGTTTCTATTGTTGCCCTGTTTATGTCCCTGAGTAACCAATTAGAACTGTTTTTATAGGGTATCTCATACTGTTCCGCAGAGCACACTCTGGGAAGTGTAGACACCCTCTTTTCAGAGTCTAGGTGGCTAAGCCAGATCACATCAAGTTTGAGTTACCCACGTGATGTCCTGGGAAGAACACTGGGTGTGGAGTCAGGAAACCTAGCTTTGTGTTTCAGCTCCCTTACTGGGAGAGCCTGGACAACTCATGGCCCTTCATGGGGACATGGGGACTCAGTTTCCCCTTCTATGTAATGAGGGCCCATCCTGTGCAGTGGTCTGAGACACTGAGTGTAGTAGAGCTTGCCCAGTGTAGACATCCTTGTGGCCACCATGCTGCTCGTGGAACTCCCTCCTTCCTAGCAGCCGAGTGTCCTGGCCTCTCGTGGACAACATGTCCTTGACTTACTGGCAGCCTCGTCCCAGGGCTACTAGGCCATCCTGGAGAGGGTCTGGAGCCATCCTTTTTGGCCCAAGACCTGCTTCTGTGCTCCAGGCAGATATCCCCTCTCTGAGCTTCCTGGGGACCACAGGGTGAACTGCCTCCAGTGGTGATAGAGGAGAGTCCAGGGTAAGGCCATGTTGAGGTGGCTTTGGATGGAATTTTAGAACTGGAGCCCCAAAGCCCCACTAAGTTAGCATCTCCATTGCAGGAGGCGGGAAATAGGGAGTCAGGCCAATGCCTCAGGGCTGAGATTCATGCTTCTTTGACAGGGGGTCTTGTCACACTCACACTCTTCTTCCTTGAGCCCACCGTGTTCCCAGCTGATCTCTCCCTCCCTCATTTTCCCACCCCTGAAGCCCCCAGCTCATGCCCACCCCTCTGCCTCTGAGACTTACTCTCCCTTTCCTGGTCCTTCAGGAGGGGCTCCAATGTCTCGCTGACCCTGGACATGTGCACTCCGGGCTGCAACGAGGAGGGCTTTGGCTATCTCATGTCCCCACGGGAGGAGTCAGCTCGCGAGTACCTGCTCAGCGCCTCCCGCGTCCTCCACGCAGAAGAGCTTCACGAAAAGGCCCTGGACCCTTTCCTGCTGCAGGCGGAATTCTTTGTGAGTTCCCTTGAGCCGGCCACCCCACTGTGTACAGACCCATGTCGATCATCCACCTAGCCAGGTGGTGGAGCGTGGTGCCTGGAACTCAGCATCTGCTGTAGATTAGTATCACTTTATGATCAGCTCTCCTACCATCTTGGGCAAGCTGCTTTCCCTCTGAGCTTCAGTTTCCTCATCTGGAAAATGGGGATAAAAACAATAGGGTTGTTGCAAAGATTAAAGAGACTAATAGCATGAGCAGAGCGCCCAGCCAGGTGATGCAGGTACAGTGGCAGTGCTAAGTCTTTATTGCCCACTGCTGTGCTTTGAAAGCCATAGAGAACCTTCACTCTGACTCTTCTGTTTTCCCGCTCTCCTCCTGCCAAGCATTGTTCTTCTGCCTTTGAAATCGCTCCAGTCACCTCCTCTCCTTACCCCCGCTGAGGCTCTAACTTAGGTCCTAATCACCTCCCCACTGACTTCTGTCCCGGCCTGAGGCTGACCCTGCCTCGCTCACCGTCCTATTGGACTTTGAGGGGCTCAATAAATGGCACCCCTGTTTACGTGCCTGAGTGCACAGCCAGTGAAGAGCTAAGGCATAGGAGGTCACAGTGTTACCTTTATTGTCAATAACACACAGATTGGAAATGAGGCTTAGCGGGGTGTAGCAAGAGTGAGCCTCCCAATACTGAGACCTGGAATGAGACGCACTTTCCACCCACCGCAGGGGTACCAGCACATCTCCCTGAGGGCACCCCTATAATTCTTTCCTGGCAGGAGGGCCCTGAGAGAAGGAGAAAGGAAGGGGCTGAGGCCCAAAAGCTCCGTTCCTCAACCAAATTCACCAAACAGGTAACTCCCCACTTCTGTGAGCAGGAATGGGCGAGAGGCCGAGAGTATTTGGGGCAAGTTCCTCCTGATAGAAGCCAGAGGGGTAAGGAAGCAGGTGCCTCCTCCCTCTCAGCTCCCTTCCTTTGGCCTCTGCCCTGGGCCTGTCTGGACCAGGTAGCTCCCCTCTGTGAGAAGACCTCCATCACCATCTGATCTGCTGCTCCAAGTTCTCCAAAACTTGGCACCACCTGCATACACCATCAGCACACCTCACCTGGTGTGGCCCCAGCCTCCTTTCCCAGCCTATGCCCCATGCCCCACCCCTACAGGGACTGTCCACTTCAAACTGGGCCAGCCCCACCTGTGTCTTTCTCCTGCCATGCCTTTATTCACATCATCACCCACTCCAGATGCCTCTAGAAAGCCTTCCTCGACCACCCCAGCCTCAGCTCCCGCTCTGAGCCCCCACTGCCGTCATCTCCCCTTTGAGAAAGAATTACATCCTCTACCTCATTTCCTGTTCACTGGGTCATTGTCGAGGAAGGAGCGTGGCCTGAGCACCCGCTCTGGGGCCAGTTTTGTACGTGTTGTATTTTTCTTTTGATTCTCAAAACCCTGGAAAGTGTTATGATCCTCATTTTACAAAGCCCATACTTAATATGTCCAAAAACAATGAACAGTGTGAAGCTGGTGCAGTCAGGGAGCTAAGCTGGTGGACAGACTGGAAGGAAATGCAGAGGCAAGGGGCATGGGGAGTCATCCAGAGGGTGGCAGGAGGAGACAGACTCAGAGGTGAACTTTAAAGGGTGGGAACAACTTGGAGAGCTGGGGGTAGGAGAGACCGGTACCCCCAGGAGGCAGAATGTCACAAGCTCAGACCCAGAGCCAGGACTGAGAACAGCAGATGAACAACAGGGGAGAAACAGGCATAACTGGAAGTAAAGAGAGGCCACATTTGAGAAGCCCTCACGTGCCAGGAGAGAGGTTCAGACTCAGAGCTCTGGACACAGACAGTGGTTGGGAGGTGCAGATACTCCTGGGATCTCAGAAGGAGGCTTCTCTCCTGCTGGAGAATCAGGGAGGGCTTCTCAGAGGAGGTGGTATATGAGATGAGGCGGGGGTGGGTATTATCAGAGAGCGAGCAGCATGAACCGAGGTCCCGAGATAGGGATACCCAGGGGAAGAATGCTTCCCAGGGAGCGTGGAAGAAGGCAGCAATTGGCCAGGTCACTTTTTGTTTTATTCTTCATTCATCAGCTATTTATTGACTGTCTACCATCTGCCAGGCTGCCCCTCCATAAACAATAGTCATTACAATATTTCTTATGCACTCGGCGTGAGCCAGGCCCTGTTCTGAATGCTTTGTGAGCACTAACTCTCTTAATGGTAATGTTTGTTGAATGAATGCATACACTCAAGCCAGCCCCTGGGTTAGGAGTTGAGGGTACAGCAGCCTCTGGATTCAAACGTGTGTGGACCCATAGCTGCTCACACCCCATGTCTTCCTTCCGCAGGAAATCCCCATGAATTTTGTGGATCCAAAAGAGTACGACATCCCTGGGCTGGTGCGGAAGAACCGGTACAAAACCATACTTCCCAGTGAGTACTCACCGCCCCGGGGGATGGAGGCGGGCTCAGCTTCACCTGGGAACCCCCTCACCCTAAGGAGGACTGTCAGCCCATAGCTGGGCCTCCAGGGCTGAGGGGATACTCATTACTGAAGGAGAAGAGGCAGTGGGCTAGGGTGCTGGCTGAAGGGAAATACCACCCCCGTGAGGGCAGAGGCAAGTTTGCTTCCTCACACAGCACCCTGGTCCTTTGCCCTGCCTGGCCACACGTTGTGCTGGGCCCTGTAGAAACCCAGAGAGAAAGGGTGGTGATGACAGCAGCTCCTAGCCATGGTGTGGTATCTGAAAGGTCACCTTCCGTATCCTTTATCTTTTCAGAGTGGGCAGATTTTAAGGAAAGGAAATTAAGGCTTAGCGAGGTTATTAAGTGGCTCATCCGCAGTCCCATGGCTAGGAAGTGCAGAGCTGAATTTCAGACCTGGGCCTCTGTGATCCCAGGGTCAGGCTCTCTGTCTACACTGTGTGGAGTGTGGTCGGATCGTAAGCCCTCTAACAGGGAGATCCACTCCCACGGGCGAATGAGATCTCTCTGCCAGGGAGTGAGCTCCCTTGTTACTCAGTGTGTTCAGGTGAGGCTACATGAGCAGTCCCCTTGAAGGTCTAAAAGGGGTTTTCCTCCTTTGGGGGCAGTTAGAACAAGTGACCTGATCCTCCTCTTTTAGCCCTGGGGTATCATTTTCAGATAACTTTTATGAAGAAGCCTCAATGAGCCTGCCATCTTCGCCAAGTTCTGACCCCAGGCCTCAGGGCTACCTTGGGGGTTGACTTGTTGAAAGTGAATCCCCATAAACTTATTCCATTCAGTTTGTGGAGTAGCAAGGCTTTTAAAAAGCAATTTTGCCATCAGCATCTCCAACAACATGTAAGATGTCATGACTTATTTTTAACTTTTAAAATATCGACTCGTAGTTGCTATGGTTATGCAGTCTCTAGGTAGTTCCAGTTAAAGCGCCATTTAAGGCCAGGATGCATTATTCGGGGCTGCTCACCTCTTCCCTCATCTTGCCCTCCCTCATTCCAGCCCTACCTGGAGGGAGGAACTCCTAGAACCTTGGGCTTTGCTGGCCACTCAGAATGGCCACTCGGCGAAGGTGGGAGCAGACCAGGACTCCATGCAGTCCCCACTGCATTCTGAGAGGCTCGAACTGCCTCCAGCCATGCCCTGAGCCTCCAGGCCCCCGAGCCCAATAGAGGATGTTGTCTGTGTCCAGCAAGAATTGACCCTGTCCTCTCAGAGGCTGGGTTGCGGGGCAGAGGGCAGGTGAGGTTTAGCAGAGGCTGCCTCTCAGATCCAGGGCACCGTGCGGTTTGTTCTCTCATTCACTGGACACACATTTCCTCGGCTCCTGTCCCAGGGACTGAAGATTTACATGTAAACAGGACACAGACTCTGTGCACAAGGAGCTTCCAGCCTATGGGGGAGACAGGTCCATGCACACTTAAAGTCAGAGTGATCAGTAACCCAACAGGCAACATTGAGAACAAGATGCTGGGAGCAATTTCTGTCCCCTTCTCCACTGTGTCCCAAGCATCGAAACAGTGCTGCCTGGCATGTGGTAGACGTTCTGCACCTGTTTGGATTGTTTTAATTTTTGTAGAGATGGAGGTCTGGCTCTGTTGACCAGGCTGGTCTCAAACTTCTGGCTTCAAGCTGTCCTCGCCTGCCTCAGCCTCCCAACGTGCTGGGATTATAGGCTTGAGACACCATGCCCGGCTCTGCACCTATTTGAATGAATGAATGAATGATCTCTCTCAAATCAACATCCTCTTATCCAGCCTCACTGCCAAATGATGTTTTGGGGGTTAGAGCTTTCATGTTGCCCAATTCCAGGGGACACCATTTACATAGACTACATTGATGTAAGCGCCCCCTGGAGCTGTGCCAGGCTGGACAGCCCTGTGATCCTTGGCACTTCTTACTTGGATCATTGTGATAAAACTCTTAATGGGTCTGCTGGCTCCCACAGTCTCCTCTCCATCTTCCATTGCCACCAAAATTATGCAAAACAGAAATCTAATTGTGTTCTCTGCCTTAAATGCCATCATTGTCACCCTTGTAATCCTCAGGTTTAAGTCCAGCTTTTTTTTCCTTTTTCTTTTTCTTTTTCTTTTTTTGAGACAGAGTCTCACTCCGTTGCCCAGGCTGGAGTATAGTAGCATGATCTCGGCTCACTGAAACCTCTGCCTCCCGGGCTAAAGCGATTTCCAGCTATTTTTTGTACTTTTAGGAGAAACAGAGTTTCACCATGTTTGGCCAGGCTGGTCTCAAACTCCTGACCTCAAGTGATCCGCCCACCTCAGCCTCTCAAAGTGCTGGGATTACAGGCATGAGCCACCCCGCCCGGCCTAAGTCCAGCTTTCTAGGCCTGGTTTATATGACCCTTTGTCACCTGGTTCCTCGCCAGCCTCACCTCTCACCACTCCCACCCTGCCCTGTGCACATGAATCTGACAGAACAGCATTGCCTGCAGCTGGCCCATACAGAGCTTCCTGCCCCTCTCTGCTGCAGGTCCCCCAGAAGCCCCCCTCCCGCTTACCCTCACTCCTCTCCATCCCTGCCACCCTCTAATCCCACTTCACAAGAACTGCTTCCAAATCACCTGCCAAAACCTCAGGCAGTGGGGTTGAGCTAAAGAGGTGAAGCTTGCGCCCTGTACCTCCCCTATTTCTCCTACCTGGTTGGGATCCTTCTTTTTATCCTTTGACTTGCGGAACTTGTAATAATGGCAATAATACCAGCAACTGATGCTGTGTGCTGGCCAAGTTACTGGTATAAGGACTCTAGTTGTTAAGGTTCATTCCTTTAACATTTACAAGATAAACATGGTCCTTGTGGAATGACCATCCGCAGGTTACAGATGAGGCCCAGGGAGATGAAGTCACTCGTCCACGTTGACGCCGCTAGCGAGGCAGAATCAGGATTTGAACCTAGCCTCTCCAGCTCTCTTCATGAATCCCCTGTGCTGCCTTTGAGAGCCTCCTAATGTGCACACTAGAAATGCCTTTAGTCCCGTCCTTCATATTACAGGGAAACTGAGTCCTGGACAAGTGGACTGATAACAAAACTAAACCGGAACCCAGGACTCTGGGCCCCCAGCCAGCTTCCCTGCTTACCCCATGCAACCTCAGTCTCAGCCTCTGCAGGTTGAGAGAATAGTCCATACAGGGAGGCTGTAGCTGGAACAAAACAAAATCTACTCCAGGAAGAAGAGCAGGGTTGGGGCTGGGCACAGTGGCTCATGCCTGTCATCCCAGCACATTGAGAAGCCAAGGCAGGAGGATCACTTGAGCCAGGAAGTGGAGACCAGCCTAGTCAACAGAGCAAGACCTCATCTCCATTAAAAAAAAAAAATTGTTTAATTTAGCCAGGTGCAATGGCGCATGGCTATAGTCCTACTTACTCAGGAGGTTGAAGCAGGAGGATCACTCGAGCCCAGGAGTTTGAGGCAGCAGTGAGCCATGATCGTACCACTGCACTCCATCCTGAGTGACAGAGACCCTTTTACAATAGGATTTGACATGTAAATAAATTGAAAAAAAAAAAACCACCTTTTTGCACATGTGCACATAAGGCTAAGCCCCTACAATCTCATTTCAGATAGGGAGACTATCGTTTCCATCTTAATAGCCTCCCTCAACTTTCTAACCCCAAATCTTAACAGCCCTTTATATTTACAAATCACTTTACAGTTTATACAGAACTTTCACATCTGTCTTCTCATTTATCTTCCCAACAGCCGAAGGACGTAGGCATCTTTGCCTCCATTTGAAAGATAGGAAAACTGAGGCTTAGAAAGGCCATGTGTTTTACAAGCCTGCACAGCAAGCCAATGACAGTGTGTACTCAAGCTGGCTGTCTCTTGCTGTCCAAGATCTTTACAGGCATTTCCCTAGGTAATTCCATTCTTGGCTTAGCCTTCTCCTCTTCAGAAGATGCAGTGAGTACAGGGCAGCTTAAGGCGCACAGGCTAAGGAAGGTACTAATCCTACAGAGGTAGAGACCCAGGACCCCTCTCTCCTTCCACCCTCCTCCTCATCCTGAGTCCTCACCTGTAAAATGAACCATGAATGGGTCAGTGTTTTGCCACTGGGCAAGGGAAGGAAGAACTGCTCAGGTCCCAGAAGAAATGTGGGTATCCTGGAATAGGCTAGAGGAGGTGGGCCCTGCACCAGAGGGCCCAGCTTCCAGCCTTACCTGTCTCCCACCACCCCAGACCCTCACAGCAGAGTGTGTCTGACGTCACCAGACCCTGACGACCCTCTGAGTTCCTACATTAATGCCAACTATATCCGGGTATGTATTCCCATCCTGACGGCCTCTTGCTGAAGGGAAGGCCTGAGTTGATGGGATCCATCCTCCAGCCTTGTCCCTATGCCAGTCTGGCTCCTGCCAGCTCCTGGGAAGAGCCCAAGTGTGGGGACGGGGTCCCGGGAGCACTGTCTCTGACCCTGACAGCCTGGACTTGGCTGGCCGCAGGGCTACGGTGGGGAGGAGAAGGTGTACATCGCCACTCAGGGACCCATCGTCAGCACGGTCGCCGACTTCTGGCACATGGTGTGGCAGGAGCACACGCCCATCATTGTCATGATCACCAACATCGAGGAGATGAACGAGGTAGGCACCCCAGCCCCATTCCGAGTATCTGCAACATTGCGCCCTACACTAAGTGTCTTGTTCTGAAATTAATCTTTATGACAATCTCATGAGGTCGGCGGTGTTCACTCCGATGAGGAGATGCAAGGCTCGGTGAGGTTAAGTCATTTGCTCAGGGCCTCACAGATAGCGGCATGCCTGGTGGTGGCCTCTCCACCTCCGGTGCCCGTGACCTTAAACACAGCACTCTGCTGCCTCTCAGCCTGCCAGGACAGGTGTTGGCTACTCCTATGCCCATAAGGGTCCATTTAACTGAATCTCCATAAAAGGTCCCATTTAACCGAATCTCCATCCTTCATATGGGTAGCACTTCTGTTTTCCAGAGGAAAAAACTAAGGCTCAGGAAAGGGAAGTAGCTTGTAGAGTCTGCAGCTGAGATTTGAACCCAGCACCCTGTAGCAGCAACCCTGTTGCCCTTGTATATCTCTCCGCTGGCCCTGGAGGGTGTTGGGGAGAGTGTGGGAAGGGAACAGGATTGCATGGGAGCCTGATCTGGGCCCCTGCAGAAATGCACCGAGTATTGGCCGGAGGAGCAGGTGGTGTACGACGGTGTTGAGATCACTGTGCAGAAAGTCATTCACACTGAGGATTACCGGCTTCGACTCATCTCCCTCAAGGTGAGGCCTGGGGCAGGGCTGGGCGAGGCTGAGGACGAGTGTCGGGGATTAACTGGGGACTCCACAGAAAACAGGTCCCCAAAGTCCACTGTAGCTGACAGAAAAGCCAGTGTCACTCCCAGATTTCTAGTAAGTACAGATGAGTAAGTGGTGAATGGACTTGGGGGCCAGAGGTAGAACCAGACCCCTTGCATCTCTGGGTCTTTAGTTGCATTTCATGCTGTTGGGCTCTCTCTCTACCTGTCATTCATAATGCCTTCTAGCTATGCTTCAGACGTTCCCAAGGCCAGGACTGTCTGGATGAGGTGATTTCAGCAGCCTCCAGCACTGTCCTTATAATTGAGGGTTCATCATGACTTTTTGAGATCCGGCCGAGAAATCTCTCTTCACCTGGGATGCTGGGCTTCTGGCCTGTAATGCCCAATCTGTCCACAAGAGGGCAGGCACTCTTTGCTGCCTTGGGGTTGCACAGGGAGGCTGTGGTTACAGAAAACAAGAAAAAGGAAGATACACAAAATATAAGCAATACAAAACAGCCCAGAAGAGTGGGGGAAGGTATCCTCCCACCCTGAAGTTGTGCTTCTTCCAAGATCAGCGTAATAGAGGAGGCTATTCCTTTGGAATTGGGATTAGTGGATTCTGTTTGTGAGAAATGACAAGACCCATGTTTAAGGAAGGCTATAATAACCCCAAAGGCTGGAAGAGACAAGCCAGGCACCAGGAAGCTGATGCTGTATCCAGGAGCAACCAAGGAAGTTCATTGATGCTGACAGCCACAGGGGCTACTGAGCACAAGACCTGAGACTTGGCCCTCTGAGTTGCCCCCTCTCCCACTGGATAGAGGCTAGGGAAGGTGTCGAGAGCATCTCAGCCCCCAGAAAGCAGTGCCCTATACCCCCAAGCAGCTCTAAGATCCAGGACTTGTTGGAGGGTATGAAGGGTCAGGAAACAAAGAGCAGAGGCAGTGGTGGCTGTCACAGCCAGGTAACCCAGGACCTGAGAAACTGGCTTCCTGGGTAGAAATTCCCCAGAAAGCTCCACTCACCACCGGCCTGTGAGCACCCACCCCTTATGGGAGCCGGGCTGTAGGAACTGGGGGCGGGTGGTGTATAAAAAAATAATATGCTTTCTCAGCTTGGAAAGTTGTAAAAAAAATAAAAATAAAATAATAATAAAGAAATGCCCCAGAAAGGCTGAGATGAGGCAGGGGGATGTCATGGGGATGGTAAGGGAAGAACCAGGGCATCCTGGAGTTTGAGGGAATTTACTTTTGTCCATAAACCATTACAAGCACCTGGCCTGAGCTTGGTTCTGGGTTGGGTACTGTGAACACACAGCTGCCCAAAGCCTGGACTCTCTCCTTGAGAAGCATGTATAAGATGGTAAGTGCTGAGCTAGAGATAGGTATATAGGATATAGGCTATGTATATCGTATGTGTGTATAATCATGTATATATAGAAGAAAGACCCTCTGCCAGCTAATGTGCTCAGGGAGGGCTTCCTGTAAGTGGTGGTGCTGAATGGGGTCTTGAAGGATAAGTAAGCAACAAGTGAGGAGAGCATTCCCAGCAAAGAGAAAAATAGAAGTAAGGGCATGGAAGACGGAACACTTGTGTGCATGTGTATGTGCACGTGTGTTTGCGTGTGCTGCTGAGAGTTTACCTACAAACCTTTTGGAGCGCGGGAGCATTGAGCACAAGCATGCAGGGGAAGGAGATGTATCTGGAAGGGCAGGCCCTGTAGCAGGTATCTTACTTGCCAGGCAAAGGGCTAAGGAGAGTGGGGCTTATTCTGAGAGCTGTGAGAGATACTGAAGGGTGCTGTGGTCTGCCCAGGCCGCTATAACAAAATACCGTAGACCAGGCAGCTTACAAACAACAGGTTTATGTTTCATAGTTCTGGAGGCTGGGAAGTCCAAGATCAAGGCACCATGACCCTGGTGAGGGCCCACGTCCAGGGTCATGTCCTCACATGGCAGGAGTGAAAGCTCACTGGGGCCCCTTTTATAAAGGCACCGATCCCATTCATGAGGGCTCTCCTCTCATGGCTTAATCACCTCACAAAGGCCCTCCCTTCCAATACCACCATGTTCGGGATTTGGTTTCAACATGTGAACTTAGGGAGACACACATTCAGTCCAAAGCCATGGGTTTTGAGCAGGAGAGCAGCACGTCCAGATGTGTGTTGTACACAGACTGTTTTGACTCTGTGGATCTGGGATAGTCGGGGATGAGGGAGAAATCTCACACACTCGAGCAATGATAAAGGTCAAGGTGGCAGTAAAGTGGGGAGTGTGAAGAGGTGGTAAAACTTGCAGCACTAATTGCAGCACTAAGGATAGAGGCAAGTTGGGCAGGCGAAGCACAGCAAGAGAAGAGAACCGGGGCTGGGCTATGTGACAAAGGGACGACTCAGGGGCCATTTATTAATATAAGGAACCCTGGAGACAGTAATAAATTGGAGAAGGGGCTCTTGGCCCCTCTTGGATGATCCTGGAGTTGTTGGAGCAGAACCAAAGGCAAGATCCATGTCAACGCTGCTGACCAACCCCCACAACTGAGCGGGCTTTGGGTCTCTGGTGCCACTGGGCCATACAGCCTAGATGGAAGGGTTAAGGGGTCCCACTCTGTGTGCTTCTTGTGTTCTTCCGCCTCCCATCCTATCTCCATCTCTGGGCTGGTTTGTGGACTGAAAGAGTTCACACATACCAGGGGTGGGCCTCTGTCTCCTCGACAGAGTGGAACTGAGGAGCGAGGCCTGAAGCATTACTGGTTCACATCCTGGCCCGACCAGAAGACCCCAGACCGGGCACCCCCACTCCTGCACCTGGTGCGGGAGGTGGAGGAGGCAGCCCAACAGGAGGGGCCCCACTGTGCCCCCATCATCGTCCACTGCAGGTGGGTCCTCCCAGCCAGCCACTGGAGCGGGGCAGCCCACCAACCCGCTGGACTGCCCTGCCCCTCACCCCACCGGTCCCCTCGGCCCTCAGTGCAGGGATTGGGAGGACCGGCTGCTTCATTGCCACCAGCATCTGCTGCCAGCAGCTGCGGCAGGAGGGTGTGGTGGACATCCTGAAGACCACGTGCCAGCTCCGTCAGGACAGGTCAGTCCACAAGCAGGGGTGGGGAACACACAAGGGAGCTAGAGCCCCAAGTGGACAAAGGGAGAGACCCACATGTGCATGGGAGATGGGGGCAGATGGGAAACACTGGCATGGACTGAGGGGCAGACAAGGAGCAGTGAGTGCAGCTGGGTAGAGGGGCGGGATCCAGATTGGGGGGAAGGGGGCGCGGATGAAGAGAGAAGAGAAGCAGAGCTGGTGGACAGAAGGACAGAGGCTGAAAGTGGTGGGACATGTCCTCTGTGTCCCTGATAGGAAGGGGCAGGGGGTAATGGTTGGCAAGGGTTGGTCTCCAAGATGCGCAGGGCCAAGGCCCCTAGCAGGCCTGGCAAGTGATTGCTACTCCGTAGCTTTTGAGACACCCTCCCGCAGCCCATCCCTCCACGACCCTCCCTCCCGCCACTGTGCATCTCTGCCGGGCAGGGGCGGCATGATCCAGACATGCGAGCAGTACCAGTTTGTGCACCACGTCATGAGCCTCTATGAAAAGCAGCTGTCCCACCAGTCCCCAGAATGACTGCGCTTCTCCTGCAAGGTTCTCTGGGCACTGCCCAGCCTGAGTCTTGGCCCTCACCCAGGGCCCCGCCTCGGGTCCTGGGCCTGCTCCCCGCTTCCTCCCCTTCAGTCGGCTCCCTCTGTCCTCTGTCAGCCTGGCCTGGCCCCTACCCTCCAGCATCACTCTTCCTACTGTACATATTGGGGAGTAGGGGACAGGGTCGGGGAGGGACACGCCAGGCCAGGCCTGGGGCCCCAGGGCCTGACCCACACCATGCAGACCCGGGGCCCCAGTTTTTAACGATGGTTCCATCAATACCTGATCCAGAACGTTTCCGTGCCAAGTGTCCTGCTGCGGTGTGTTCTGTCTGTCCATCCGTCTCTGCTGTCTGTACCGGACACTGTGTCTCCTCGGCGAGGAAGGGGTAATGAGCTCCAGCCCCTAAGCAACCTGGGCAGAGGTGCCTGCCTCAGCCCCACCTGCACTTCTCCCAAAAGGCAGATGACCGGGCGTTAGGCATGGGGAGCGCCGGAGGGTTACCAGAGAGCTTTCAGCTGAGGGAGAGGTCTCCAGGTTGGAGTGGCCATCACAGCCAGGGTGGCTTCTGGGTGTCAGATGCCCTCAGGAGGTAGTGCCCAGCCTGTGAGGCACTGGTGAGGAAGCAGGCAGATGGGGCATGGGCAACCCAGAGGATCTGAGCCCTGTGCGGGAGGGGAGGGGAGCTCAAGGTTTGGATGGGGACTCAGCCCCAGATCTGTGTGAGACATGTTTCTGCGTCACTGTGGGAAAGCCTTCCTAGAAGTCTCACTGCGTGTCGCTCTGCGTGTGTTCCCATGTCCATGCGTGTGTTGAGAGCCCATGAGGAGGGCATGCATGACTCTTTGGCAACATGTGTTATCTTGGAGCCACGTGTTTTTATTGCTGACTTTAAATATTTATCCCACGGCAGACAGAGACATTTGGTGTCTTTTTATAATTCGCTCGTGGTCATTGAATAGAGCAATAAACAGAGCATTTTAAGCAAAACTAACCTCCTGGGTCTGTGTGATTTGCCTGTCCCCTCCACTGCCTGCCTCCCTATACCTGGGTCTTTGTGCCCCTCCCCAGCATGGGCACACAGAGAGCTTTGCCCTTCGGCTCACTGGAGCCCCTTGTGGAGACTTCGAGTATGAGTCCACGTGTGTAAAGCCAAACTGCGTCCATTCTGCAGGATTCTCACACAGCCTCAGCCTCGGCCCTGACAGATGCTCTGGGCCATGGGGAGCCTCAAGGACAGGTGTGGAAGGCTTCCAGGGAAGGCACAGTGGCTGGCAGGTCACCAGTTACAACAGATGTGTCAGAGAGCCCAAGGCTAAGTCAAGGAGACATTCAGGTCCCACCCAGGCCCCTCCCTGTTGGCCACTTATCCCATGTTAGCACCACAGGTCCCAACAGCAGCTACAGCCCAGTCATTTCCCTTGTAAGGCCTGGGCTCAGAGTGGCTCCTCCCAAGGGGCCCAGGGAATCTGCCTGTGGGCCCAGATCCTGAGCCATCCTGGACACTCCTGTTCTATTCTTGTCCCCTGCCCCCGCTGGGATGGAGCAAAAGTAGCCACGATGCCACTGCTGGCAGGTGGGGATCACCCCAGGGCAGAAGGAGGGGCCCAGGGCAAGGGTGCTGACCAAAAAAAGGCCTCACAAGATGCCAGAACCTTGGGTGGGACCCAGGGTCCAGGCACGCAGGATGTACTACAGATGAGAAAATAACAGGGTGGCTGAAGCAGCCCAGATGGAGGTCCTTGAGAAGAGGTGACCATACTCTCCAGTCACCCTCAAGCAGAGACCTCCCCACAACCCCCAGAGGATAGGCCCTCCTACTCGTCTACCCCGATTAGGGAGATTGGGCTGTTGAAGTGGGAAGAGGAAGGAAAGCTAACATTTTCCTGTCCTTCCCCAGGGTGGCCTTGAAAAGATATTTAGGCTGTGTATGAACCACACATAAGAGTGCAACATGAATGGCACCCCCCTGGATTTGTGTAGCAAAGCAGCAGATCCCAGAGGCCCTCCCCAGTTCACCCTGTCCCAGTCCCTGGAAAATATGGACCTGTTGCTTTGCTCCCTGAGCCCTGCTGGATTATGCATGCACACGTACCTGAGTGTGTGCCTGTGCACACACACCACCTTGAGCACCCCAGCTCAGAGAGGTCCCACCCCGCAGCAGTGAGAGCCAAAACCTGTACCACAAGGGAACAGAAAAGGCGCCGCTGGACTGCCACCCTCAGCCTCCTTCCCACCTGGTCTTCAGTATTTCCCCCAGCCTGGATCCAGCTTTTCTTCCCGCCTCCCTTCTCCGCCACCCTCCCCCTACAAACAAGCAGTGTGCCATCTAGCTGAGACAGCTGCAGAGTCTGAGTAAGGAATCACCCCCAGGGGGCCAGACATTTAAGGAACTGATGACACTGGTAGCCTCACTGTTGGGGCAAAGGAAGAAGGAGACAGGCCACCTACAGTCCAGGCACTAGCTGAGCCTCCAAAGCCGTGGACACAGCGTTGGAGAGTTGAGAAGGACTGGTCAGTGCTGAAGGTAAGGCTCCCCTCCTCCCTCAGGAAGGGACAAAACTGACCACCTTCTGAGCCCAGAGGGGAATATAGGGTAGAGAGCAGGAACAGGGGCAGGGGAGTAGTCTCAGAACCCAAAGGTAGAAGCAGCCCAGGCAGGGATATATTAGGGGGTGGAGGGAGGGAATAGAGTTTAACCCCAAACTACCTGGTTCAAAGAAGGCTTTGGAGCCCTCCGGGAGGCCACTGGACTGGGGTCAAGAGCTAGGAGTCTAGTCTGAGTGACCTTGTGCAGGTCATTTCTTTCGGACATCAGTTTCCTCATATACAAAATAGGGCTTTAGGCTGGGTGTGGTGGCTCACATCTGTAATCCCAGCACTTTGGGAGGCCAAGGCAGGTAGATCGCCTGAGGTTAGGAGTTCAAGACCAGTCTGACCAACATAGAGAAACCCCATCTCTACTAAAAATGAAAAGTTAGTCAGGCATGGTGGCACATGCCTGTAATTCCAGCTACTCAGGAGACTGAGGCAGGAGAATTGCTTGAACCTGGGAGGCAGAGGTTTCAGTGAGCCAAGATTGCGCCATTGCACTCCAGCCTGGGCAACAAGAGAAAAACTCCGTCTCAAAAAAAAAATATATATATATATACATATATAGGGCTTTAAAAACTGCAATGCTGACCAGATGTGGTGGCTCATGCCTGTAATCCCAGCACTTTGGGAAGCCAAGGCAGGCAGATCATTTGAGGTTAGGAGTTCAAGACCAGTCTGGCCAACATAATGAAACCCTGTCTCTACTGAAAATACAAAAATTAGCTGGGCATGGTGGCGCGCTCCTGTATTCCCAGCTGCTGGGAAGGCTGAGGCAGGAGAATCACTTGAATTCAGAAGAAGGAAGTTGCAGTGAGCCGAGATCACACAAAAAAATCACAACGCTGGTTAAATAAAACATGGAGGGACATCCAGTCGTTGAGATAACATGGTGCTCTGAACAGAAATGAGGAAACTCTATGATCTGGTATGGAAAAAATCTCCAAGATACATTAAGTAAAAAAAGAAAGGGTCATTATAATGTATAACTGTAAGAGGCTACCTTATGTGTTATTTTTTTAAAAAAGGAAGATGGCAAGAACATATGAGTTTTCCTATTTGCATGTTGGAGGTCTAGAAGGAGCCTAGAGACTGGTTACTTATTGCAGTGAAGAGGGCTGTAAGACAGACGCAGGAGTGGGAGGGAGCCTCTTCATACAGATTTTTATGTTATTTTATTCTTTAGATTTGTGATTTCATTACCAGTTCAAAGAAAAATGTAAGAAATGAAAACTAAGCCTTTGCCTTTACCATGTTGCAAACACAAGCAGAACTGTAACAATGTTTTCTCGTCTGTTTTAGCATTCCTCCAGTGCTGCGGTCCCCAGGACCCAGGAATAAGAGCCACAGCTTCCTTCTAAGGCCCACTCCAGTATGGCTTAGTCAGGAAGTTCCTTCTTAGGTCTGACTGCATTCCCTCCTGATGAAACATCCAACACTGCCTCCTTAGTGCCATGTAGCTATCAATAGGTATCCTCAATTCCCTCCAGGCCTTACTTAGTTGGCTGGGTAAGTCTAAGCCCTATAACCTCTCCCTCTGAGACCCTGGAATAGTTTGGAGTTACTCAGTGAGAGGACAGGCCGATTTGGACTGGAAACTAACCAGGAAAAGGGAGCAAGGAAATGAAGAAAAGAGAGTCTGACTGTTCTCCTGGCCTTCTCCTGTGTGCTTCCATCTCCTCTTACATCTGAACACACACATAACATCTCTGAATCTCCCTCCTACTCCCTGTCTTGTCCTTCATGGCCGCATCCTCTCCCCAGTCTCACAGGTGAGTGCCCACGCCTGCTGTCACCATGACAACCATTCACAGCCAGCAGATGCTGCAGAAGCACGTGTCCATGGAATTCTCCAGCTCCACCACCCACGTGCAGACCTTCTCCCAGACAACCAAGATCGTGGGAGGCAAGTGGAATGGGGGCAGGGAAGAAATCGGGAAGGGCAGCTATTCTTTCTCCACACCCATCCCTTGGGTGGCCCCAGATTTTGCCACTAATGGACCCCTCAGAAGTCCACAATACCAACAGCAGTCCCCTCCCAACCTGTGCTTCTAATCTGGGCTTTGTTAAAGCTTCAGCCAGCTTGATGTTCACCACAAATCAGATCTCCAGGAAAACAGCTTAGAAAAAATCAATCAAGTGGATGTGTGTGAATGACTGATAAACTCTTAATTGCTGAAGGAGATCAGAGCCATAGGTGAACGGATTGCATCTCCAAAGGTAGAATTTCAGGCTTGGGGGGTATTAGGAAGGTAGCCACCTTATCTACATATCAGTAATGCTGACCCTGCTCCACTTAAGAAATAGGAGACAGGACTACCAGTGGAGAGAGAAGGTGAACACATAAACAACAAGGTGACCTAAGCTTCCAGGCTCTTAGCCCTCTGGGGCCAGACTTGGAGGAGGGCAGAACCAAGGGGAAGCTTAGAAATGGTCTCAGAGCTGAACAGAGTGTTTTAGTCATGTCTCTAGTGGAAAGAGATTAAAAGATGGCCAGGGGCCAAGACACTGGATACCTCTTCTCATAGTCATTGCCCCTCCCTCAAAGCCTCAAAGGGTTAGAGTCCCTCAAAGTGCTCTGTGCACGGAGGTCAAGGCCAGACAAACACTCTGTACCAACCAGCCCCTGCTGGCCAGTGAGGCAGAGCAAGTGGAACAGCTAGGACTCAAGGCCTGTGGTCTAGATCAGAAGTTGCAAACTCAAGTGATTTACAGCAGTGACTCTCTGCCCTGGCTGCACATCAGAGTCACCTCAGTGCAGGGGTGGTGAGGGGGGCAAAAATATGGCAGTACCTGAGTTTCACCCCAGACCACTAAATCGGGTATGGCTTGTAAAGTTCTCCAGGGATTATAATGTGCAGCCAAAGCTGTAGACCATTGACCAACGGGGTCCAGGCAAGGAACATAAATGTGGGGAAAAGACTGCAGTAAACTAGAGACTGTATACCCCATTTAAGGTGCAGCCACGACTCACCTCCCACTGAATGTTGCCATACGGGAATACAAGTTCAGTGTTGAGAATCCAGAAATCTGAATTTTTATGTAAAATCTTTCTATTTCAGATGTAGGGTTACTTTTCTGTTTAAACATTGTAGAGGTCACATAAAAGACATCCGCAGCCCAGGTGTCCCCTGCACTCTGCCTGTTTTGAGACCTCTGGTTACTATTTAAAAGGAAGCCATGAGAGCTTCTTAACACATTTTTTCCCTCTGTCAGATTAGTGGGGTAATAAAGACACCTACTTCACTGGGATGCTGTGAAGATTAAATAAAATCATCTCTGATATGTGCCTAGCACAGTTCCTGACTCAAGGAATGTGTTCTATGATTCAGAGCAATTGTTATGAATTGATAAACTCACCAGCCAAGATTTTCTGTAGTTTTATACTACAAAAACTGTTTT